CTAGCTTCGGCCTCCGACAAGATCCACAAGACCACCCCACTAATACCAAATCTCCATGCCATTTATCCCACCTACTGACCCTGTACTTGAGGACAATCTGTCGTCCCTAGCTTCGGCCTCCGACAAGATCCACAAGACCACCCTACTAATACCAAAGCCTCATCATCTCATCATCCAAAAAAAAACCTTAGGTCCGCCATGTTTCCTTCCCGTCATGCTAAGAAAATTACATTGAACTTCAATTGCAAGTGCTAAACACAATCAGCGTATATTACGCCAAAGCCATCGCCTCTATACACTCCTATCAAAATGAACACACAACCATGTAGGCTTTCAGTTACTGCTCTTTCCAAACATACCGCTAGGCGTCGTCCTTACACTGTGGCCCGGTGACAGGTCCCACAATGCACTTCACTCAACTTTGGCCTGCCCCATTGCATGACGGGAAACAAAATGGCGGCGCCCATAAAATCGAGGTAACGTAGAACAGGTTCCGCTATCGCGAACCTGTAATTACAGGTGGTTAATAAGGGGGGTTAAAAAGAATCGATATCCGCCATCATCTGTACAAAAGGCTAATGATATCGTGTTTCTGACCTGCAGAACTCAGAGTAGGTGAGTACGTAACACTTGTCCTCGATACACGCCACACTGTTCTCGTCTGGGTGACGGGCCGCGAACAGTTCACACTGAAACACACAAATATAACAGGAAAATCGTTAAATGTACAACTGTTCAATAGGCTTAGGATTTGTCTGGTTGTTCTTTTGCAATTTTGTAAAGACTCCACGACATTTTTTGGGAGCTCACACTGGAGATCATTCTCACCAAACTGCAACAAAATATTCAATTATTTTGTATATGATGTAATTAGCTGTCTCTACTACACAGCTATCAAAAACGTCATAACATCATTTTCAGATAAATTAGTGCTGTATACTGAACGCCTGACGCATTCATCGCCGAGGAAAACGTTAAAACGCCCGTGTTGTCCTACGTTTTCTCCCTCTCCATAACCATGACCGGGAGTCAAGTCCTTCCGTCTGGGGAAGAGTTAGGAGCAGTTCGATGTGCCCTGACCTGATGTTAGCAGAGCGCTAGCCAGGGCGAGCTGGCGCCGCTCCAACATGCTAATCTTAGCACGTGGCTGTACGCACGTCTGGAGTGTGTCTGTAGGGTCTTACAATCAACTTACTGCTTAATGTGTGCTTCTTGGAAAGGTTAGGCCACTGTAACTATCTCACGAAGTTGAACATCTCGCGTATATCTTTCACGGTCGTTTTTAAAACGCCAACGTTTGTGTAGAAGGGTGACACACCTCTTTGTGTTCATTTCAAGTGGTTGTTACATTTACACCATCAATCAAGTAGCAATAGTGTTCTTGTATGATATATTTGTAAACTACTATTGTATCCCCCTTGGGTCCTGTATGGCAAAATCCTTTTTTCCAACAGTTTTGATGTATCATCAATTAACAAGTGTCAGCCCTGATTGCCGGAATCACCTTGACACCCCACTGACTTTGACAGTCGCAGGGCCATCAGTACAAGTGACCCTCCTGGCCTGTCGAGCCCCTGTGTCGAGCCGGTCTATTCGCCTGACCGTCCATCTGTCTCCATCTTCTCTGATCACTGATCCAAGGACTGTGCTTCGTTAGGACGTTCCGCCAAATAATCCAAATAATCTGGTGATATTGTTTCCAGCTACTGTACAATGTATACTATACTATACTATACTATACTATACTATACTATACAATGTATGTACTTGACGTCGCTCATAGCTATTATGGGAAATTTGTTGCAACATTTAACAGCTTTTTCTTACATACTGGAATTTGAGTCTACTGAGTAGCGGACAGTTCCAAGTAAAGCTAAAAGGTAAAGCAGACCAAGCGTAAGGCTTTTTCGATATCCGATATTCCAATACGGCTACAACTGGCGTAATCCAGCCAAGCACACCAGAGAAAATTCGCTGTGTGTATTTCATGTGTTACAACAGTTTAACTTCATCTGTCTACTAAACGCTAGCACAACGACCTCACATGCTCCTCTGGACAGAAGTACCCGAGAAGTCGCGGTATAAACCAGCACGTTTCATGGCGCAGGCCCACGTGGGAGGTGGCGGTACCTCTCCTAATGAGCCCGCCCGAGCGAGATCTCCCATTTGTGACGGCTTGGAACAGTTGACGCGCCCACGTGTGGGACTTGAAAGTGGTGGTTGACGTTTGAAGTGCGCACATGTTGGGCACGAACGGGTTAATCATGAGGCCATGACGCAAGGGGAAGACGGCACCAAACTAATGAGTCACGGTACACCCGCAGTGGAAACGTCTCCCTGATAGATTCTAAAACACCTGTTTGTGTGCCTGAGCTGCAAACGTCACAACCACAAATCACAAGATTGTGGCATGACGTCTACAATAATACACAATGTCGTTAGGAAAATACTAGCGGGCTTTCAGCAGTGGCTTTGTATGAGCCATACAGCATTTCATTTGTCGTAATACCGCCTTAAGCGACAGCCTTTCGCAGTTTCCGTATTACTTGCTGTCATGTCATTCACTGCGCAACAGTTTTCCCGTTTCCTTTGCCGCGCTGACGGCTTGAAAGTCTACCTATTGACGAGTTTACTTGCTGTATGGCGTGCAAAACGAAATGTACAATTGCGAGATACGATACCGCCTCCAGATTAGATATATCACTTTCAGAACTTCAAATACTCACAACGTGCAATTTCAGAAACAATTGAGATTGCTCACCTTCACATACTGTAAAAAAATTAAAGAATACAGAAAAGGATTATCATTTCGAGCCCTGATGCTTGCACCAACGACTAGATGGCTTTAAACCTTCACCACTTTGCCAAGTAATTAATCCGGTCGTTTGAACAAGAAAATATCGATTTCCAAACTAAAAATAATGAATTCAAGCAACCACGACGCTCCCCTTCAGGGTTAGGGCAGATATTCAATTATTCATTGTTCTTCGCGTAGCTGAGGAGGTCTGGTACTGACGGTCGCTTCCCGGAACTGACGTTTTCCTGGAAGCTCCGGGCTAAAATCAATACTGTGGAATTACCGCAAATGTTGCACTAATGGCGCTCGTCTGGTCCGGAAGGGGGACACAATGAGGAGGGATGGAGGCGGCTTAAATCACGCCAATCTACCACATCACCTCCGGGAGGATGGATGGTTGGGCACGTTACGTTTCTACCGTGATGGTGGAGGCGGGACCTGTCAAAGGGACTCGATACCCAACAGACCCATTAAAGACGTAGCTAATTTATTGATTGCAATTTGCAGGAACGGGGACACGGAAAGGACCGTTAAATGCTTCCACCATATCTGGTCAGATAGATGCGTCATCCTGACTACCTATATGTCAAAAGTGTTAATATACGCCGATCTACGCTCTGTTGTACGACCTTTGGCGTTTTTTTTATGTTTCTAAGACAGTTCGTCAGAATAAGAAGCCCCAGTTGGGTCGTAGATATATTGATTTGCTTCATCGAGCACAACAGTTCCTTGTGATTCTCCCGACGTAAGTTCCCTTCCCCGGTCCCCTCTTTATCACTAGTACATGTGAGTTACCTCTCCATGCTGAGGCCGCTTGCCGCCCTCGATGTGCTCCGGTCTGTAGTACCACAGTAGACTCATCATCATCTCACCTGGAACACACACATAAACATCAACCTTCCACAAACATCAGCAGTACTGTAACACACACGTCCGGTTGTTGTTTTTTTAATTTTTTAATTGAAACATACAATGACAAGACGTGGTGGCGACACACTCAAGTTACACTTATATTCATATTTCCACAATCTCAAGTTCCCCATTTAACTAATCAGAGTCGTTGCTGTAACTGTTGTCCTATTGTTTACCGCAATCTGAATCTAAAGTTCAGGGTTTTGCTCTAAAAACTAGAGTTCCACGATCTCATACCTTCGCCAAATGATGTTAGCCTTTATGAATAAGAAATATACTAATCACCCAGATTATGCAAATAGGATCCTCAATTGCATGAATTATATCAGTCTGTTGATCATATTCTCCACCAAAAGACAGTCTTATCTTAACAAAGAATGCCATTTTCTCATAAATTATGCAAATGTGGTCCTTATTTGAATAAGTTATGTTTAATTATGTTCACCTTCACTTAACTTTCAAACACCCCAAGTATGAAACTCCAGGCAGTTACCACTATGCAATTATAACATTTTCTTATTAATTATGCAAATTAAGTCTTCATTTGCATAATCGATATTTGCCTGTGTTTCTCTCGTTCTTAATAACATATGTTACAAGCTTGAACTTCCTATCATGGAATGCAGCTGATTTATAGAATTTCCTCATTAATTATGCAAATTACATCAATATTTGCATAATTGTAATATCATTATGTCAAGCATCACTTAAGCTACCTACATACCAAAAATCACGATGATCCATCAATCGGTTCTTGAGTTATCCTCTTTTAAACATTTGTCCCTTTAAACCCCCCTGCAGTTCTAGAGCAAGCAACTAGGGGGCTCATACTCATGTCACTTCATCCCCAGCACAAGAGCTATCTACCATCTAAATTTCGTCACCCTAGCATGTCTGGATCATGAGATATCAAAACCGGAAGTTCTGCTGCAGTACCATGACAAGCCGCCA